TCAACATCTAATAGATGTTTTGCTTTTTAAATTTTGATTCTTTAAATTTTATGTACAGGCACACCCCAGAGATTAAGGACTTACTTCCCGACCACAGCAATAAAGTAAGTCACACAAGTCTTTTGGTTTGCCAGTTCACATAAAACATAAAAGTTATGTTTACACTATACAACAATCTAGCAAGTGTGCAATAGCATTATACCTAAAAAGTGTACATACTTTAATTAAAATATACCTTACTGCTAAAAAAATGCTAACCATCATGAGTATAGCTTCAAAGATCACTGATCACAGTAATCATACCATAAGAAATATAATAATAACAAAAAAGTTAAAAATATTTTGAGAATTACCAAAATGTGACAGAGATATGAAATGAGCAAATGCTGTTGGAAAAATGGTGCCAAAAGATTTGCTCAATGCAAACTTTCATTTTGTAAAAAAAAAAGCAGTATTTGCAAAGCTCAAAGCAAAGTGCAATAAGATGAGGTATGTCTGTATTTATTTCAGGTAATAAATAGTCCCTCCCTTATCTACAGTTCCTATTTCCATGGTTTCAGTTACCTGTGGTCAACCTCAATCCTACAATATAAAATGGGAAATTCCAGAAACAAATAATTCATAAATTTTAAATTGTGTACAGCTCAGAGTAGCATGATGAAATCTTGCGCCATTCTGCTCCATGGTACTTGGGACGTGGATCATTGTCCAACATTCCTCCTGTTAGTCACTTAGTAGGCAACTCAGTTATCAGATCCACTGTCTCAGTATTGCTTGTGTTCAAGTTACCCTTACTTAATACTTAATAGTGGCCCCAAAATACTGGAGTAGTGATGCTGGTAATTTGGAGGTGGTCAAGAGAAGCAGCAAAGTACCTTTTTTAGGGAAAAAGATGATTCCAGACTTAAAAATGAAAGAAAAAATATTACATGCTGACATTGCTAAGATCTATGGTAAGAATAAATCTTCCGAACAGGAAGTTCTGAAGAAAGGAAAAGAAATCCATGCTACTTTTGCTGTAGCATCTCAAAATGAAAAAATCATGGCCACAGTGTATAATCAGTACTTAGTTAGATGGAAAAGTCTATATTTAATACAAGATAGTTTTAGAGAGACAGACCACATTCATACAACCTTTGCTACAGTATATTGTTATAACGGTTTTATTATTCATTACTGTTGTTAGCATCTTACTGTGCCTAATTTATAAATTAAACCTCATCATATTTGTATATTAATATGTATAGGAAAAAAATCACATTAAGTATAGGGTTTGGTACTATCCAAGGCATCCACTGGGGGTCTTGGAACATATCCCCTGTGGATAAGGGAAACTACTGTATATTAGCTAATCTTAGGGTAAACTACATTTAATTATTTTATGTTTAATTTATGACCTTGATAGTCACGTAAGTATTAATTGTACTTTATCCTGTCTTGTCCTATTCTTTCAGTGATTTTGGCTAAGTGTGAATGTTTCATATTTTTGACTTGTAGACCTTTGTGCAGAATCCAGTTTACTGTAAGTCAATTAATTCTAGCAGAACTAAAGTTGAATTATTAAATTTTTCTAGGCTGAGGAGATAGTTATGGTAAACTCTTAATTTTTCAATGCTGAATTAGAATTTCTACTCTTTTTCACTTCTCAGAAGAGTACCTAGTCTAGGCTAAATAATTAACCAGTTAGTGACACAATGCATTATTTGTGAAGAATGGTAATCTGGGTTTCACATCCATCTCTGCCACTAACAGAATCTAATCAGAGGCAAGATTCATCTAATATCTCTAAGTCACAGTATTTTATCTGTCAAATGAAGCAACAGGATTACAGATTCTTCAAGGTCCCTTCATCTTGAAAATGCTAAAATTCTATGACTATATTACACATAAAAACATCTAATAATTTGAGTGTGAATTTAGGGGTGAATTTAATATAAGTAGTATAGAAGACTGGGCTTCCTGGTAGTTCAGATGGTAAAGAATCTGCCTGTAATGCAGGAGACTGGGGTACAATCCCTGAGTCAGGAAGTTCCCCTGAAGAGGGAATGGCTACCTGATGCAGTATTATTTCCTGGAGAATTCCATGGACAGAGGAGCCTGGTGGGCTACAGTCCATGTGGTCACAAAGAGTTGGACATAACTGAGTCACTAACAACTTTTTTGGGCTTCCCCCATGGCCAGAGTTCCAGAGAATACCAAGGTCACTCACCTAGAGCCAGACATCCTGGAGTGTGAAGTCAAGTGGGCCTTAGGAAGTATTACCATGAACAAAGCTAGTGGAGGTGATGAAATTCCAGCTGAGCTATTTAAAATTTAAAAAGTGCACCAGGTCCAAGCCAGGTTGGATGCATGAGACAAGTGCTCAGGCCTGGTGCACTGGGAAGACCCAGAGGGATCGGGTGGAGAGGGAGGTGGGAGGGGGGATCGGGATGGGGAATACATGTAAATCCATGGCTAATTCATGTCAATGTATGACAAAAACCACTACAATATTGTAAAGTAATTAGCCTCCAACTAATAAAAATAAATGAAAAAAAAAATACCATTTAAAAAATAAAATAAAAAAAGATGATGCTGTTAAAGTGCTGCAATCAATATGTGAGCAAATTTGGAAAACTCAGCAGTGGCCACAGGACTGGAAAAGGTCAGTTTTCATTTCAATCCCAAAGAAAGAAAATGCCAAAGAAAAGTTCAAACTACTGTACAATTGCACTCATTTCACATGCTAGCAAAGTAATGCTTAAAATCCTTCAAGCTAGGTGTTAGCAGTATGTGAACCAAAACCTTCCAGATGTACAAGATGGATTTAGAAAAAGAAGGGGAACCAGAGATCAAATTGCCAACATATGCTGGATCATAGGAAAAGCAAGAGAATTCCAGAAAAACATCTACTTCTGCTTCACTGACTACACTAAAGCCTTTGACTGTGTGAATCACAACAAACTGTGGAAAATTCATCAAGAGTTGGAAATACCAGACTACCTTACCTGAGAAACCTAAATACAGGTCAAGAAGAAACAGAACTGGACGTGGAACAATGGATTGGTTCAAGATTGGGAAAGGAATATGTCAAGGCTGTATATTGTCATCCTGATTATCTAAATTATATGCAGAGTACCTCATGCAAAATGCTGGGCTGGATGAATCACAAGCTGGAATCAAGACTGCTGGGAGAAGTATCAACAACCTCAGATATGCAGATGATACCACCCTTATGGCAGAAATCAAAGAGGAACTAAAGAGCCTCTTGATGAGGGTGAAAGAGGAGAGTGAAAAAGCTGGCCTAAAACTCAATATTCAAAAAACTAAGATAATGGCATCCAGTTCCATCACTTCATGGCAAACAGATGGGGAAACAATGGAAAGCGTGACAGACTTTACTTTCCTGGGCTCCAAAATCACTGCAGATGGTGACTGCAGCCGTGAAATTAAAAGATGCTTGCTCCTTGGAAGAAAAGATATGACCAACCTAGACAGCATATTAAAAAGCAGAGACATTACTTTGCCGACAAAGGTCTGTCTGGTCAAAGATGTGGTTTTTCCAGTAGCATGTACAGATATGAGAGTTGGACTATAAAGAAGGCCGAGTGCCAAAGAATTGATTCTTCTGAATTGTGATGCTGGAGAAGACTCTCGAGAGTCCCTTGCACAGTAAGATGAAACCAGTCAGTCCTCAAGGAAATCAACCCTGAATTGGTTTGGAAGGACTGATGCTGAACCTGAAACTCCCAAAATTCTAGCCACGTAATGGCAAGAGCCAGCTCATGGGAAAAGACCCTGATGCTGGGAAAGACAGGGTAGGAGGAGAAAGAGGCAACAGAGGATGAGATGGTTGGATGGCATCACTGACTCAACGGACATGAGTTTGAGCAAACTCCTGGAGATAGTGAAGGACAGAGAAGCCTGGTGTGCTGCAGTCCATGGGGCGGCCAAAAGTTGGACACAACTTAAAGATTGACTATGATAGGGCAAAAAATCTGCCTACAATGCAGGAGACATAGGAGATGCGAGTTCAATCCCTGGGTCAGGAAGAGACTATGGAGGTGGAAATGGCAACCCACTCCATTATTCTTACCTGCAAAGTCCCATGAGCAGAGAGCCTGGTGGGCTACAGCCCACAGGTCTGTAGAGTCAGGCAGGACTAAGCACATAGCGTGTGTGTGTGTGTGTCTGTGTGTGTGTGTAAGAGATTGCATTATCTGTTCACGATTATTCACTTCTTCCTTCAGCATAGCTTCCCCATGGACTGTCTTTGCCCTGTTGACTTTGGGCTCGGCCATGTGACATGCTTTGACCTATAGAATGTGGTGCAGAGAGCACTGTGGTAACCCAGGCAGAGGCTTCAAGAGGCACTATGGGCTTCTTCTCACTCTCTTAAGATTATGCTCTCAGCTATAAGCAAGCATGCCCCAAATAGTGGTACTTCTTGCGTCTAGGTCCCTGAGTGCAAAGATACATAGAATAGTGCAACTGACCCAACCCAGCTGAATCCCACCTGCATCCTGTCCAGTCCAGCCAACTTGCAAACCTGTGAGCAAGGAATGTTTTCATTGGTGTAAGCCATTAAAATTTTGCGGTTTGTTGTCACAGCAAAAGCTGACTAATCAAGTACTAAGTGTTCTTTTCTATTACACTCATAAAAAGAAGTGTAAGTTTCATAAAAAGAAACTATTTTTGAAAGTCTAGTTCCAAATACTTTATTAAGCAACTCCTTATTATCAGGGCTTTTGTTCCCTCCTTGATGTCTGGTATTGTACTGTATCAGCCAAAATAAGACTTAGGAAAGAAAGGTATGTTTGTAGGAAAGTTAACAGATGTATCTGAAGCTATTTCTCAGAATTATGTGTTTAAAAATGTGTTAATGGTACAAACAGATGGAAATTGTGGGGTCAGTCATTAGCAGTATTGTCACTATATGGTCAATATGCTTTGGCTGGTAGGTTACCTTTAGTGTGACTCAGTGAATTCCATCCATCTGAATGGTCAAATTTGAATGTCCTTATAGTGCTTTCTAATTAACTGACTGAAATTTATTATTAAAAATCTCTAAAATTACAGAATTACTGGAATGATTGGTGATTTGTTTATACTTTGTTAACAGCATTGGGAGTAGGAGAGATGCTAGGCATCTGACTGTATTTAATTTCAAAAGAAAAATTACTTTTTTTTTTGCCCATTTATTTATTTATTTTTGCCCATCTCTGGCTAAGATTTTAAAAACCCAAGTTAGGCTATAAAAAGGTAGCAGTTTCTGTCACTTAGGACATTGTCTTCTCTGGAAACCAATCACTTGCAAGTTCATTCATTGCATGTCTATGCTCTTCATCAAACGAAAGTTTCATTAGAACACACACAGCAGGACAGATCTGATGTTCAACAGGAGCTGGCATTGGATTTTTGTTCTGGTCCATGCCTTGTTCATGGGCTTCCTGCCACTCCCAACAGGTTTCACAGTAAGTTCGTATCTGTTCCAAAAGATGAAGGACTCGGATTTCACGCCTGCCTCTCTTGTCATCAGGCTGTGAGTGAATGATGTTGTGGAGTGCTGCACTGGCCCTGGCCCGAGCCTCTTTACTGCCCCGGGAATTTCCCAACAACACAGAGTCTTTGTCACTGTCATGTAAAAGCTGGATGAGGAGAGGAAGACATCCAGACTGTCGCATGGATATACAGCTGTCTTGCGAGCTAGACATAGCTAGCAAAGTTCGCGACATATCATCCTTATCATGAGTACCAAGCATTGACAACAATGAATACACCATTTCCACCTTGGTTCCCAGATGACTGGTCAGCCTTCGAGGAGCAGAATGTGTGCTACTAGAGCTCAAAACACTGGCTGTTTCATGATCTATTTGTGTACTTGACCCCTGACCGCTACCCACAGTTGCCATGTTGATTTCTGCCACTCCTTGACCTTCATTCTGCTGTTCAGCTTCATGTGAGACAGCTTCATGCTTGCTCTGAGATGACCTCTTGGGAAAGTGACACCATAAAATTCAACAAAATCATCTCTGCTTCGGTTGCTTGGGACTGTAAAAGCTGTCGTATACGAAGTATGTCCTTTTCTATTTGTTGAATTCTGGTTATTCTTCGTTGGACCATAAAGAAAGGTGAGGGCTGAAGAACTGATGCTTCTGAACTGTGGTGTTGGAGAAGATTCTTGAGAGTCCAGTGGACTGCAAGGAGATCCAACCAGTCCATCCTAAAGGAAATCAGTCCTGAATATTCACTGGAAGGACTAATGCTGAAACTGAAGCTCCAATACTGTGGCCACCTGATGCGAAGAGCCAGCTCACTGGAAAAGATCTTGATGCTGTGCTCGTTTTCCTTGCCTCGTATTCCAACTGCCTTCTGGTCATATCTGTTTGTAAGGAAAAATTTTCAGTTAAAGGAAGGCTATCTATTCTTCTGGTGAGATTCTGAAGTTGAGCATAATACCAGTCTTTTTCCTTTTCTTCTTTATCAAGGCCAGCAAGAAGCAATGATCTCTCTTTTTCAAGTTCTTCTAAATAACCAGTATTTTCTCTGCTTCCATTTACAAACCCTCTTCGTGGAAATGAACCCATAGGAACAGGACTGCACTCTCCTGAGCGACTAGATACAGATCCTTCTCGGCTTCCGTAAGAACGGAGGGACATTTTGGACCGTAGTTTCACTCCAGGGAAATTACTGCTATCTAAGTTAAGTTCTTTAAGACGCTCTAATAAATCAATCTGTCCAGAAGAAGCCATAGCTTCATCTTCAATACTTCCTTGTAGTTGTTTAAGTACTTCCTTCATATTAGATGCCTCAGTTTCCAGTTTTGTAAGATGACTGGAATTATCTTCTAGCTCTTGTCGAAGATTTGAGTTCTCCATCTTCAGGGCCTCAACTTGCTTTGACAACTGATCCTAGGAAGCTGCAGCCATCCTTGGCTACCCCTGGACCTGCCAGACGCTCGCCCCGGACAGAAGAACGGACGCAGCCCGGGCGCTTCCTCTCCTGCCGGACACAGCCCCTGCCGCCGCCGGAGCTCCGGGACCCGACAGCACAGGGCGGTACCGAAGTAGGCAAAGCGGCGACCGCACTGGAGCAGACCGGGGTGTACATAGGGGGCGCCGGGGGCTCGGGAAGGCAGCTCTGTGCTTGACCTTCCTCACCGGTGGCCAACGGCGCTCCCTGGGAACAGCATCCCGCCTGGGCCCGCGGCTCCTCCCGGCAGCGGCCGGACTTCCGGCGGCCACACCCTGCCCCCGCGCTACTTGGCCGCCGCCATCTTGTCGGAGGCGGGAAAGAGAAAAATTACTTTTAAGTTATGAGTTCTATATTTTACCTTTGCATTTCCTTTATATTTGCGTATCTAGTCAAGAAGATGACTAAGTACCTATATCTATACAAGAAATCTTCTGTGTAATTCCTAATGCCAGGAAAGAAAGAAAGCAAAGCATATACTATGTAGGGAAGTTAATACTGAGATATTTTCTGAGAATATTATAAATCTAGCATAATTATGAAGAAAATCCAAAGAATCAACAACACTATAGACATGCTCTAAAGCATCGCAAGGACACTAATTGAACTGTTCAGTGAAATGCAATGGCATACTGCTAAAACTGATTGGCATGTTCAAAAGTTGAGGGCATTTTATGGCAGCTATAGCCTTAGAGATTTTATCTATGCCAAGAAATAACTTGACACAATAAAATCCAATTATAGCTGCCAACATTAGTTGACCTCTAATTACCTGGAGTCTTTCTGTTAAACATGTTAGATATATTTTCTCATCTAATCTGCACACACAAGCCCTATGAGGTAAGAATTTCCTATACAGTAAAGCAACTGAGGCTGAAAGTCACAAAATATTTTGACCAAGGTAGATGTCTAAAGTAAAAAAAATTTACCCATTACTCATAATTCACTCTCCATGTTAAACCCAATGAACAGGAGAAATGAAAAACTCCTTTAGGGTCATAAGTTTAATATCTATAGATATTGATACTAAGCATCATAGTCAAAGTTTCATAGTTAGAAGCAGAAATTAAACAGTAAACTGAGGTTTTTGTTGTTTCAACCATGGTCTTCTAATATATTATATCACATATTTATGAAACTATCTCCTATGATGTTTTTGGAATTTTATTTACAAATACATGTTTTATCTACCAAGCTTCAGTATAATTTTTATAGTCACATACTTTAATATAATCAATCAATTTATCTATTAATTTCTACATTTTGTTTCCTCTGAAGAGTTCAGTAACCTCTAAAAAATACATTTTATACCAGTAGGGGCCCTGGAGTATGAAAATAATGAACTCCTAAGGAGTCTTTGTTATTTTATTCATATTTGATTACTAAATTAACAGAATTGCAAGATACATACCCGAAGTAGGTTAATCTTAGACTAAATAATTATCCATTTCACTAGCATCAAATTGTAAATCTCAGCAATGTCTGAGAATTTTTAGAACCTGGAAGATAGTTACAAATCTGCCTAAGAAAGTAAGTATTTTACAAAAATTAAGTGGATCTTTCCTCACCTCATTACAGCCGTTGCAGATAAAGGACACATTTCTTGACCTAGCTTATAAATAAATCTTTAGCAGACTTTCCAATTGTCACTTCTAGTAAGAAGATGACTATGACAGGGTATGAAGGTTGACTGCAAAGGAAAGATAGGAACTGGTAGGAAAGGAAGGGTGGGATTATCTCCCTTGGCAACAAATACTTCGATAAAATGTTTCTAGTGTAACCTTTAACTGACTTATTCATTATTTTACAGTGACAAATGAAATCATAGATGAAACACTAATTTACAAATGACATGAAGTCAAGAGGAATAAATAACAGACTGTGTAACAGATACAAATTCTCAAGGAAAAGAAATTTAACATGGTAAAATGTAGAAGAAATAGACAACATTTTTCACTGAGAATTTGTTTAAAGAAAGGTTATTCCAGCAAAGGCAAATTTACCAAAAAGTGCATGGTGCTTAAGCTTTAGGACCCTTGATCTACATCAAACCTTTCCAAACAGCTGTACCTAATTATTGATATAGCATTCTTCTTAAAGGGGGCCTCCAAATTTATATAAGCTCCAGGACTCACAAGATCTGAATTTATCTTGAATGTATCTCATGAGATAATATAAGCTGCCTAATGGAATCCCTCCAAAATTATTTAGCAAGCCTTTCAGATCAAACCAAGTACAGCAAATAAAATCACCATAAGTCAGCCCAAAGCATAATTTGGACACTAGAATAGATTCACATATAAGTGGGAGAAATAATCATCTGAAACCGATAAAGCACTCCTCAGCCCTCAGCCTAGTGAAGAGAGAAGGCAGTTGCACGCTGAAGAGAACAGTGAAGTAGGTTTCCCAAAGTGGTAAAACACAAGGTACCAATAAGCATTCCTCTGAAAGAAGGTCCAACCAGGACCATCCTGGGTATGAGATACTGGGCAAATAGTTTATTTCGTGGGACTGTCGTCTGTAAAGATTTTGATTTAAGTGTATTACACAATTCACACACCTAGTGAAATACAGTGACTTATCAATGAAGATTTAGAACAATGGGTAGAGAAAAGGCACTTATATATTCTTTATTGTACAACCTGCTCTCACTGCCTCTTCCTGGTCATATCCAGGAACTATATCCTCATGTTCTTTATTGTCATACATGCCATTCTTAACCAATTTAGTATACTACCACCATGAGAAGCAGGGCTGCCCTAGTAGCTTAGTTGGTAAAGAATCTCCCTGCAATGCAAGAGACTCCAGTTTGATTCCTGGGTCGGGAAGATCCCCTGGAGAAGGGATAGGCTACCCACTCCAACATTCTTGGGCTTCTCTGGTTGTATCTCATGAGATAATATAAGCTGCCTAATGGAATCCCTCCAAAATTATTTAGCAAGCCTTTCAGATCAAACCAAGTACAGCAAATAAAATCACCATAAGTCAGCCCAAAGCATAATTTGGACACTAGAATAGATTTACATATAAGTGGGAGAAATAATAATCTGAAACCGATAAAGCACTCCTCAGCCCTCAGCCTAGTGAGGAGAGAAGGCAGCTGCACGCTGAAGAGAACAATGAAGTAGGTTTCCCAAAGTGGTAAAATACAAGGTGCCAATAAGCATTCCTCTGAAAGAAGGTCCAACCAGGACCATCCTGGGTATGAGATACTGGGCAAATAGTTTATTTGGTGGGGCTGTTGTCTATAAAGATTTTGATTTGAGTGTATTACACAATTCACACACCTAGTGAAATACAGTGACTTATCAATGAAGATTTAGAACAATGGGTAGAGAAAAGGCACTTATATATTCTTTATTGTACAACCTGCTCTCACTGCCTCTTCCTGGTCATATCCAGGAACTATATCCTCATGTTCTTTATTGTCATACATGCCATTCTTAACCAATTTAGTATACTACCACCATGAGAAGCAGGGCTGCCCTAGTAGCTTAGTTGGTAAAGAATCTCCCTGCAATGCAAGAGACTCCAGTTTGATTCCTGGGTCGGGAAGATCCCCTGGAGAAGGGATAGGCTACCCACTCCAACATTCTTGGGCTTCTCTGGTAGCTCAGCTGGTAAAGAACTCACCTGCAATGCAGGAGACCTAGGTTCGATACCTGGATTGGGAAGATCTCCTAGAGGAGGGCATGGCAACTCACTCCAGTATTCTTGCCTGGAGACTCCTCATGGACAGAGAAGCCTGGCAGGCTACAGTTGGACATGACCAGTGACTAAGCACAGCACACCTTGACCCCGGGGAGCACAGTACCACTGCATCAGCTGAAGGAAATGAATTAGAAGGGCCACTGACAATGGTAAGCAAGAGTCCTTAGTGGTCTCCGCAGAGAGCAGCACGGTCAGCGGTGGAGGATGACCTGACACGTGGCGTAGAGCTTTCTGAGGAGTGGGGTGAGCATTCTGGGTGTCAGTGGCTGGGAGTGCACAGCATTAGGATGCTTCTTGCAGTCCCTGCAGGCCCTAAGTGCTAGAGACGGCAGTCATCACAAAGGTCAAGCATGAGTCAGTGAGAAATGATTCTGCAGAGGTCCACAGCTCAAGCTCAAGGGTCAATGGTTGATAGCCCACATCCCTGAGGTCCTGCTGTGTCTGACGTGAGTGAGAGTTACCCAGATCAGCGTGTCAGCACTATTGTT